GATTAAAATGTTTATAACAATTGTAACATAAAGTGTAATAACTTTTTAGATGTGTATAAAATGAAACTTTAAAGAATAATTAAAAGCATTTTAGTTAACAATAATACCGATAAAGAGATTATTATTATTTACATCAGTAAACGTTATAAATTCAAATTAATGCAAAATAACATTATCTGTATTTTCATTTATATAATGTACAGTATATTCATAATGATTGCTAATTTAAATGCATTTATTAAAATAGAGTACTTATTTATATTGAGAAATATGAGGTTAGAATCTAAACTTCAATAAAATGATTTATATAAAATCTGTATTAATTTAATAATTTCAATAATTTATTTTATAATTAATCACAATAATTAAGTCAATTAAAATAAAAATAAGTATAAAGTATCTAACATTTTTAATTAACCAAAAATATTGATATTATATTTTGGTATTGAATCTTAATAAACTAATTAACAAAACTGATTAATTTACTAAAAAAGTGTATCGTGTTTTTAAAATTATTATTATAATTTATAATAATATTTAATTTTATCATTTTGAAGTACAGCATATTTATTATATGAATATTATTATTATATGACCATGATAAATTGGAAAATACTAAACATATAATCTATAGTAGACAGCTATCTATTGGTAAAGATTCAAATTATTTTATTACAAATTCATTAATAGATTTTTAAAAAATTATTATTCAGTAAATTACTATATTTACTTAAAGTGTAATTACTGTATAGAATCTATATTTATATTATAGATATTTGAATAATAATATTTTTACTTAAATTTACTTCAAAACTAAATTGAATCTATTTACTAATAAATTTATAATTTTAAATGATGGTATAATTTATATGATATCATAATTTTAATAAATTAACAAAATTAGTACTTTATTATTATTAAATAAATGCAATAATCCTACTTATAAGTAAATATTATAAATTCAATTAAAATATGTTTATAGAATTTTAAAAATACTAAAAAATGTATTAAGAAAATTTGGTACAAAATAATCAAATTAAAAAATATTCAATTTTTTGCATAAATATATCATAATTAGCAAATGTCTGCCAATTGATAGTATGTTTATGAATGTGTAGATCTCATAGACATTGTTGAAGGAGTTGTTCCCATAGATGACAATTTCTTAGTACCCGTTTTTGAAGCACCGGTAGTTTCACCGGCTTTTGAAGTGCCTGTTATTTTACCGGCTTTTGAAGTACCTGTCTTTGAAGCACTGGTTGTTGCACTTGTTTTTGAAGGAGTGGTGGCCTTAGAACTTGGTTTTGAATCATTGATGGGCTTTGTAGGCGAAAAATCGGAACCAGTGACTGATGGATCTTTAGGTGACAATGCTTTTGATTTAGAAGACATTCCTTCTTCGGAGTCTTTTGATTTAGATTTTCTGGCCATTAAACAGGCCATCAAAATCAGCGCAATAATGATCACAATCACAATAATAGCAACAATTGTAATCCAAGTCCACGGACTACTTTTGCTATCGTGTTCTTTATGATCTTCTTTAACATTATCTCCTCCTCTGGTAATGTCATGTGAAGAATCACTGCCATCTTCAGCTCCTTTAGAAGTCGGAGGAACAATAGACTTGGACCTTACGGTCGAACTCAACTCAAGTGGTTGTTCGGGTTGTTTGGGTGGCAGTTGACAGGTCTCCTGATATCTGAAGAACACTTTGACGACATCTTTTTCCGGACCTTTTCTTCCACTAATTCTCAGATCTATTATTGAAATTGCAATCTTCCAGAACTTCTGATCCTGAAATAGATTAATATAATTGTTGTCTTCAATAGCAGTAATTGCATCAATTGGTGGTTTTTGAACTTGAAGGTCACTTATTTCATGACTGTCACCAATAATGGCAGTATTGTTGTTGCAAATCGGCTTAATATCAATAATGGTGTATCGATTCATTTGAACGAAAATCAGTTGAGTTTTTTTGAAAGTAAACGCCGCGTCGATCTTCTTTGACCAATCAATCTTAACCATTGATATGATTTTGTCTTTAAGATATGAGATGGGATTTTTCCAGTTGCCTCCGCGGACATCATATATCATCACTTGATTACCTTCTGGTGTAAACTCGATTACATGTATCTCTTGTTCGCCTTTACCGCACGCGTCCAATGTGTTTATGAAGATAGCGGCGTCACCCCTGAGGAATGGTGATGGCAATGGAGTGCCGGCCACTTTGGGCGGAAACTCTTGATCTTTGAGATACCAATAGTGGCCACCGCTAGTAAAAAACCATTGTTTTGTTGTATCAATGAATGCCACGGAATCCAATTTAGCACCATTTTTACAGAAATCAGATACACATCCAACACATCCAATACCCACTACTAAAATAGCAACGATTGAACTCAAATACATCACTTTATGTCGACAACAGAAACCAAATTCAAACAAATTGTATTTTACTTCTTTGACGGCTTTGTATTAATTCTCTTAAAAATTTACAAATTTTATGTGAAATTTCAATTTGACTTCAAAACAGTTACAGAATTATGATTCTTATAGTATTATATTATTTGCACGATATTCTAGTTATTATAACTTAATTATATATTATATTATATAAGTGTATAAAAGTTTATCTCTAAATTTGTTTGCATTACATGTACTGAAAGTAAATTAATTATTAGTATTAGTATTCGATTTATTTATTTACTACTGTAGTTAACTCCATGTAATAAAATGTGTATTAATAGTTAACACGTGCAACAATACTTACGCGCTTACAGTTTATTATAAACAGTATATTTTATTTATTAATTTTTTATTTAACCATTAGATCCATGTAATAAAATGTGTATCAATAGTTAACACGTGCAACAATACACTCTCTCTCTCAATCTATCTCTTTACTAAACAATGCTTTCACGCGCTATATGTAATATAATATACAGTGTATTATAAAAAGTATATTTTATTTAATTTTTTTTATTTAATAAATTAAAATTATTAATAATCGCGCGACACATTAAAATTAATTGTTTAATACAAACATTTCCAAATTATATAGTAGTATAGATAGATAGATAAGTTTTATTTCAAAATAACACATAATATTCAATTAAATACTATATTTTGTTTTTCAACATTTATAACAAAAAAAAAATTGTAAAAATCTGTCGAGAAGTGGTGTGCGAGACATCGACTCTATTGTTGTCTTCATTTAAAAAAAGCGGAACAAATGGTTAGATGTGATCCATAGTCGAGTTTTTCATAATTTAATGTACTATTAATAACATAACAATTATTACAAATGACGGCTAAAGTTCGTTATATGTTTTTCATCGAGTTTTTTAATAAATTAATTTTCTATTAATAATATAACAAACAAATGCGTGAGACATACAATATTTATTATTACAATTATAGGCCGATTCATAGTTGAACTACCGGAGAGAAAAATTATTTTTTTCAACGGAAAACCTATCTTTGGGTACTAAAAAATTTTATGTAATAAAAATAAAAGTGCGGAAAAATCCATAACCTACTCAAATCTATCATAACATACCTGACCTAACCTACATAAAAATTTGAAATTATAACTGAGAAGGTTTTTGCCGTTAATTTCTTATAAAAAGTTTTTAATTATATTAATTTCATTTAAACCGTTTGTAATTTATTTAAATTATTGTAAATTTTTAAAAAGTAATTGATTGCTTGAAACAAATAAATATATAAATAAAGTATACATTTCCTAATTATATTTTGTATAATTACTTGAATATAGTTGTTTAAATATACTATATAATATAATATAATATATAGTATATATACATTATGTATTATCATAATTTTTATTAAATTTGTTACTAAAAAATAGCAAAAATATATATTTTAAAAAATAAAATAGCGTTTTACACTTATTAATGAAATAATTATTTTTATACAATATTGTTTTATAATTTAAACAAATGTAATGTTAATTTTTTAATATGAACTTATAGGTGTAATAAATTTTAATAACTATATTAAAAATTTAATAATATATTATTATATATTTATTATAATAAATACTGTATTATTAAATTACTACAAAAACTATTTCAAAACGGAGATCAGTATAATTGATAGTAAAGTGCAAACCCGGCTATTTGTTAGGGATATCCCAATCATATCTATTAAATTAATCAATAAACTAAAGACAAATAATGTTTTTAATCTAAAATATTAAAATTTTCTAATTTATAAATATTAATGTAGTAAATATAATAACTTTTAATTAAAATAAATTAGCAAATAAATTTATTAATTATAAATAACTCATTATAGTTTTATTTCTTTTAAAAAACACAAATTTCTTTAAATATTTGTAATTTTTTTTTTGATTACTTTTAATAATAATAGTATTGAAAAGTAATAGAGTATTAATAAATTGCAATTACATAGACTTTATGCCATATATTTATATTAATATTAATATTCAATTCAAACATTCAATACAATAGATGGCATTTAATAAACTAATGGGTGTTAACTACAGTACAGTATATTATTGTGTAAAGTATTGTCAAAGTTATTATCAATTATTTTAAAAACTTTCTTTCACTAGAATTACATTTATTAATTAAATACTTATATATTGAATATGAATATATTTGTTATAAAAATTTATAGATAAATATTAAAATGGTTTATATTAACAAAAATTGTATATAAAAACTAAGGTGTTTTAGTGTATATATAAATAACAATTTTCCTATAATATACACTAAAACATATTATTTATAAAAACTTATTAAACAAATAAATTTTATAAATTTATATTACAATTTATGTCTAATAATAAACTGAAATAAAGTAATAACTTTGATATTAGTTGTAAATCAACTAATTGTATGATAATATTAATTTCAATATCAGATGTCATATATAACTAGTATTACTGACTATAGTATCATATATTTGACGTTTAGAGCCCAACATTAGACTAATGAGTGAACGCATGACTGTATGAGTGAGTGAACCGATTGAGAGGTCTATAGGTTTTTGAGGTTTTGAGACGACATTAAAGTATTGATTCATTATTTGATTGAATTGAATGACAATTGAAATAACAATTGAATTGATTTAACAATTAATATAATCATTGAAATGATTGACCGCAAGAATCGGGTATTTATTGGTGGTATCAGTGAATCGGTGCGAAAGGACGACATCGAGAAAGAGTTTGAGAAGTTCGGTAAACTGACGAGTGTTTGGGTCGCACAAAATCCGCCCGGTTTTGCATTTGTTGAATATGAAAGAGAGACCGACGCTGACGATGCAGTCAGACAAATGAACGGATCATCTATTGGCGGTTCTTCGGCCAAACTCAGAGTCGAACACTCAAGAGGTCGTTCTTCCCGAGGCGGAGGTCGTGGCGGTGGTGGACGCGGCGGCAGTTTTGGTCGCGATCGTGGTTTTGGAAGCAGTCGTGGAGGAGGTCGTGACTTTGGGGGCTCACGGGGTGGGTATAGTGGTGGTCGTGGGGGCGGAAGTTTTGGTGGTAGAGGTGGACCTTATGGAAGGGGTGGTGATCGACGTGGAGGTGGAAGTGGCGGTCGTTTTGATAGAGGAGGCGACCGATTTGGTGGTGGCGGCGGTGGATCGCGAGGTAGGGATAGTTACGGATCAAGTGGTGGTCACGACTATAAGTCAGGAAGTGGAGGCTCGTATCAAAACTATAGGAGCCGTTCGCCAATAGGTCAGAGTAGGAGGTATTGATTAAGACATTGACTTTTATTTGATTTAAATGATGAATATTTTCATTGATTTTATTGAAACCAATTATTATAAGTGCTTTAAAAATAGTGGTCGAAAGCACTGCCGAACCATTGATAATATAATGATATATACTGTATATTATTCCTCCTATGTTTATATGGATGACCTGACAAAACTAGTGGCCAGAGTAGTTTCCGCAGTCGTGATTACTCGCCTGCCGGCGGCAACTCGTACTCTTCAGGCGGCGGCGGTTCAGGCGGTTATATGTCTGGAGGCAACAGGTATTACCAATGAACCAATTGAGTCGTTCATCACTTAATTTTTTTGGTGAACTCTAATAATATCTCAATAATCACTTCGATATCTTGAGATAGTTTTGTATACCAAAAGACAAACATATCCATGAAATGCGATTTCCTGAGCACTTCTTAATTGTCAAAATGACAATATCTTCAAAAAACCTCCGATATTATCAATTACTTATCAATTGCTTTATTTTAACGATTTTTAATTTAATTTATTTTTTGGTTGTTTTTTGTTGTGATATTTAAGAGGTACTGCATGTGACCTATGATCTGATCTCACATTTATTTACTGTTTATATAATGAGTGTTTTAATGGTGTCTTCATAGATATAAGCGATGATTGTTATAAAAGACATTTAACGCATTCAATGGTTACAAACCATTGCTTATTTAAATCCCTTCATAATATTACTTTGATATTCAACACAAAATAGTCATTTGTTTTGCTTCTCAAAAAAATTTCGTTTTTATATCATTTTTATTGAATGATTGTTATAATTTGATTAGTGTTTTGTCTATCACATACACACTACTGTCCTCCAAGTGCTCAGTGAACGAACATTCATTTATTTTAAGCTTTGAAAACAAATTATTTGGGGATAAAACCATAAAATTGATAACAAAATGAATTACTGCTAATTATATGCAACTGATATAGCGCTCAATATTTCCCCAAATATTTGCATTCAATAATTAAGTCAATCGGTGATCAATACGACTATAAACTGTGACCATTCATGTCATATACATAACCATTGAATATATATAATGCAAATACAAAATACCGCTTCAGAAATATGGTGTCAATTAAGATAATTGACAATTGATTTATTGTTAGTTGAAAAATAACTTCAGAAAAATGAAAGAATGAGTCACTTTTGTATTCAATAATTTGTGTCACCCTTTGATCCACAGAAATACCATTATTATCGACAATATGTGATAAAAACAATGAATGTTAATAACCAATGATTTTGTTATAATTTTTGCTCTCAATTAGCGGCTACTAAATAGACTGTAAGAACAACTCGTCAACAATCAGACACAAAGAGCCTCAGTTGTAAAACCACTTCATTATTCACGAAATCTTCATATTATTATCAAATAACTACTACTTTCGGACACCGAATTGATGATGACTTTATAGACCACTAAAACTACTTCTTCACCCAATTTGGATCTATTAAGTCATATTGAAGTTTATCAACAAATCGGGTCCGCAATTCATCTAATCGTCAAATAATAATAATTTAATAGTTTTTATTATTCATCATTTGATTGTTAACCAAACAAAATCCCTAAAAAATTGTTTCCTTAAAATATATTAGAAATCATTATATTATTATAAACGTCTGTAAAACACGACTTTTTCAAAACTTATTGTATATTTTACACACAATATCTACCAAAAAAAATTGTCAAAATTTTATTCAAAATTTTTTTTGGTGATTATAGCAAATCTGTAAGTTTTTAACGATTATTTATTAATGAATTATACAGATATATTGATATAATTTTGGAATTATTACAATATTTTTGTTTAGTGATTCAGTAAATATTATTTATAGATATATATATATCGTCTAAATAACAATTAATATCATGTCATTTAATCATTTAATAATTATCGACAAAACTTTCAAAAGCAATCAATTGTAACACTAAAAACAAAGTTCATTTTCTTCAAATCAATTGTTTTACTATTATTACATTAACTACAATATACTAATTAATTATTTCGTGACTAAAAAAAGAAAAACTTCAAAAAATCAATGCATTACTTCATTTCTTATAATAACTAATTATATAATGAAATCAACACATATGTCTTAATATTTAAATATTATTTGCCATCGATGTCCAATCCCTACTTCATTAATGTTTGATAAGTGTTAGGAATTCCTCACGAGTTTTAGGATCTTCACGAAAGACACCCAACATAGCACTCGTTATTGTTTTGCTTTGACTTTTTTGTACGCCTCTCGTAGTCATACACATGTGTCTGTCCATTAATAATATGGTTCAAAAACAACAAAAGTAAGTTATAATATTAAAAAAGATAATAATAATAATAATGGTTACGTGGCTTCAATGACAACACCAACTCCAGCCGGATTTATGGCTTCTGTGATACAAACGGCTATCTGTTTAGTCATCCTTTCCTGGACTATAAGTTTGAAATTAATTAGAAGATTAAGAGTAAACTTTGTTAGCTATTAAAATATACGGCAATTAATACCCTGCAATCTCCTGCTAAACATTTCGACAACCCGGGCCAGTTTGCTTAAACCCAATACCTTTTTATTAGGCAAATATCCAATGGAAACCTAGTTTTATATTATAATTAAATTTTCATTATTAACTTATTTATGAAACTTTGTAATATAAAATTAGATTAATAATAGAAAATTATATTGATATTGTGTTTTTAATAAACTTAATAGATTAACATAATAGAGTCATTTATAGTATAGTATTTTATAAACCAATTGAAGAGCACAATGAGTATCAGTGAAAATAGGTTTATCATCACTCGTATAGCTATTCGTTATATTTAGTTGAGAGTCTCGTTATAAAAGTCGGAAATGCTATCACTTTCACTACGCATACATTGTTATGAATACATTGTTTAATATCAAAGTAGTCGTCAGCTATAAGACACAATTGAATCCATCAATTGTCTGCATAATCACTGAATCAATGAAAGTCACATTAATCGAGTGAACACTTTGAGTATACTATCAATAATATATTGTAAGATATATTTGAAGGACTCATCGCTAACTGAATCTATTTTATTGTGATATTAAACTCAAGTGTCATGTTATTAAAGTGTTGCCATAGAATAAATATCTCGTTATAATAATGTAGTTATTTTTATAGTAAAGAATATTCTGTATATACTGTATATGAAAAATATCGTATATTATTCAATGCTCACTATACCGTACAATACAGTATAAAATAAGCCAATTAATGAGTTATTTGATGTATGTTTTACTAACAAATTTTGATTATTCTTAATAAATACATTATTTATTTTTAACAACAAAAATGTTTTTACTTATAATTATCTGAATTGTCTCATAATTGTCAAGTGATAACTTACGTGTCCATAGATGGGCACCAAATGATGTTCACATAAAGAATACATTTCAATATCCTTAACAATGACCATCTCGTCGTGATCTTCATTGAAAATGGCATCGTTTAGGAGATCTTTTTTTTTAAATAAAATTAATAAATTGTATTTTTATATACAAGTAATTATTGTTTAGATAACAAATTTTTAAATAAATATTAAATTATAGTTTAATTTGTTTTCAATTCAATTCAACAATTCCCTAAAAGCTTACTTGGTTATATAAATATAGTACAGTATAATATATATTCAAATATAAAATGTGTTTATTTCTGCATTTTTATATATTTCATGAAACAATTTATGATTATGTTATAGTTATAGTGTTATAACCATATAATCTTTATCAAACAAAATTTATAAAAGCAATATATTGTCAACTTTTAGTAAAATATAAAGATTTTTTTTATAAACACATTTAATATTATCTTAAGTTAGTTGTTAGCTCAGGGAGTCATTCAACAAGTAATAATGCAATCGGTTTATGACATTATTAGAGAATATAGTGATTGCTGTGCACTGGAAGTCAGTGCTAACTGAATGTCAGTTTCTGGACTTGACGTTCATTTCATTTATTATAAAAGTTAATGAATTAGTTTAATATAATTTTAGCGATTGCTCTCATAATATGTGCTCTCATTGTGTCAACTATTTAGCAATTGATGTAATTATTATATATTAATATATTATATATTGAAATAAAGAATTTTTGAAGCAAATAGTTTTTATTATATACTTTTAGCTTTTAGTTGATGAATAAATAAGTAAAGCAAACTAATAAAAAATGCTAATTTTATATTATAATAATTTATATAAATAAAATAGTGTTATAAACATTATTTATTAATTATCATTAAAAAATATTTATTTATTTATTAATTAAATTACTTACCATCGAGTCTCACATGATATCCGTGTGTGAAATACCAGAGCGCTTTGGCAGCTCTTTCGGGGGTCCGTTTGAGTCCCTGTCTATCGGTGTCTTCACCGATGGTCTCAAGCAGTTCGCGAAATACCTTTTTGAGTTTGAGAACTACAGCCTCCCGTTGCGGGTCCTGTTTGGCCACAATCTCGTCGTAGTCCTCGGAGTCAGTCGATGTTAAAACTTTGTTAGCATTGCTTTTAGAAGCCATTGAAAGCTATTAAAAGAGTTGATTAATTCAAAGACTCAATTATAGACAGGATTTGAACCAAAATTTTTTTTGACGACAAAAGATTTCTTGAAATTTTTATCATTAAATGCATTCGTTATTTGAAAAGATGGGATTGGCTTTCATCACAAACTACTACTGACTTACTCTGACAGGCGCTCAGACTCCCTGTTCCTTATCAGAGACCAACACACATACATAATATTGTACTGTACTATACAGTACTCCACAAATAAAATACAATTTTATATGAAATATTAGGAATTGACTATCATTTCGCTGCTTATATATGATCTTAAAAAAGGATACTTATTGTTAATTTATAGACATTTAAATTGATTTAATTGTGCTATTTATATGTTAATTTATTACAATTTTGTAATTTAATACTAGTAAAAAATTATCATTACTTAAAAATTACAATTTTTAACATAACTATAATACTGGTATTAATTTATAAGCATAACTAAAAAATAAACTATATCAACAAGTATCAATATAATAATATATATATATATTATTTTAACTAATTTCACAAAATTCAAAATTTTATATGATTTAAATAAAGTCTCTTTAAATACACTCGTAAATTTCATTAATCTAATTATCATAACTAATGGTTATATTGTATATTTAATAATACATGTATTACATAACATTGTAGTTTTAATTAAGCTAAAATTACTTTATGAAATATAAAAATACATTTAAAAATAATAATTATTATTAGAGAAAGCAATCATAATTAATTAGAATCCTAATGTAGAATAATTTAAGTAAATTTATGAATATTAAAACCATATTATTATAGAAACCTTACATTTATTTTAATATATTTAATTTACATAATTCAATAGAAAATAAATGCTATATTTTTAATTTAATATAAATTGTCTATATTTATATTTCTAATATAATATATAAATCAGTCATATAATTTCAACTAAAAAAAACATTTGTATCAGTATGTTAAAATTATTTATTACACCATTTGATTACAAAGCAAAAATTTATCTATTGATACTTAAATAAAATTGATATTAATAATATAAAATTCATGATTAAAAAACATTTTTATAAGTTATAATGAAAATTGTTAACTTATTACTAGTTAGTTAGCATTTTATTAGATTTAAAATTGACATTATTATATAACATATATAAATAATTGAAATTAAAAAATTAAAAATATTTAATTAATTATATTAATAATTGAATTTGTGTTAAAACAATAATTATCTTATTATCCTATTATAGGATTCCTATAATACAATATCAATAGCAATATCCCTATAATAAGGGAATTTCACGTAATATTTGGGGTTTTTATTGTATATTTTGGTGTATTTGTAGTCTATTTATACATTATTTCCAATTTGATCGACAAAAACATCAATTATTTTCTTCAATTATCTATCATTTGGTCACACAGTTTGTGGTCAAAATTGAAACATAATGTCTGGGATGAAGAATGAGGTGATCCATAAGTTAAGGGTAAGTGATTGTCGACCCAATTGACGACCAAAATGACTGTATTTGATGTTTCTTTAATTGTCTGAGCAATCAATGACTCAATTGTTGATTAGGCGGACATCAGGTCAAAACTGGATCAAATTGGTGCCATCGGTGGTATGATTATCATTCACTTAACAATTATCATCCATTAGTTTCATTTGATTCTATGCTATTAACTATATAGACAATGAATTGGCCGATTATATCATGGTTTTAGTGGCAAATCAAAAGACTAAATACCAAATGAAAGACGATTTGTCGCTTTTCTTGAATGAAAATACCGATGAGTTTGTCAATTGGTTGCACACAAGTCTCAAACAATTGCAAGTCAACGCTAATCAAAGTATTATCAAAAAAATTGTTGTCTTAAGTTTGATAACCAATGTCTCTATTTTTTGTTTGTCTACTTTAAAGATGATGACAAGAAAACAGTCAAAAGTGATGTCGAAAAAGATAATAAAGACAAAGATAAAGATAATCTAACTAAAGAAGAACCCAAAATATTATCTTCAAATTTAAACAAAAATAAGTTAAAACAACACAAAAAAGTAAAGAAGATGTTTAAAAGTGATGACATTACACCAGATGTTATGCCAGTGACTGATGATAATAATATTAAGACAAATGAGAAGAATGTTAACGATTCAACTAAACGAGAGACAAATGCTGACATCATAGTCACAAATAAATTTAAGAGTCAATCTGATGGGTTAAATGTTGAAATGATTGATAGCCAACCAAAACAAGAGCAAAATGACGGCGATGTTGTCTTACTTTTAAATCCCGACGGCGGAGAAGTCGATGAATTACTTCAGGAAAATGTAAACGAAGAAAAAAAAATAGTTTCACACGAAACTAAAGAAACGGAAACCGAAACAATAGGTCCAAAAGTAGTGGCTATAAGACGCCAATCATCGATTCCCACTTCTGCAGTAAAAGCTGTTATTAATAATAAGAGAAGGTATGTGGAGGAAGACGACAATGAAATTAAAAATACTACTACAGTGGCCAGTGTTGTACGGGTCACACAACGTAAATTCATACCACAAGAACTTCAACCTAACAAAAACTTAATCCTCAGAGCCGTTAAAGAGGCCAACGATTCGACGCGACATAAAAAGCGACCGAATGAAGAGCCAGATTATATACCGACACCTATTAAGAGACGTCTCGGAGAGAAACAAGTTGTTAAAGAAGTAAACGATGAAGAATTAGATCCACAAGATTTGCGCAATTATTTAAATGTCAACAAAAATGGTAATAATAATAATATCATTTGCTTTTTTATTTAACTCATATGTTAAGCAGAATTTATATTTTTTGATAATAATTATAAATTTATGATAAAGTTTTTCTTTAATTTTTTATAATGATTATTAAAGTATAAGTTAAGCGATAATAAAAAAAATAGATTTTGTGATAATTTTAGTTAAGAATTTGAATTACAGAATAGGAAATATAAAATACTTACCGGTAATAATACTTTTGTGATATTTCTTACATACATGTATTACTGCTAATTATTAATGAAAATGTTTTACAAATATAATTATTGTATTAAATACTGAATTAATAATTGTTTTTATAATTTTAGATTCTGTTGACACAGATTTGGATAAATTTGAAAACAATGCTAAAAGAATTGTCAAAAATGTTGATTACGAAGAAAATAATCCACAGTTTGTCGTGACTTTAGATGGTGTGGATCACAGAAAATACATGAAAAATAATAACAGTAAGTCAATAGAGTCAAACATAAAATGAGTCGCAAAATAGGCGGAACTAGTTTTATGTGGATAACTTCTCTCTCAATTAGAATTTAATAATAATATTTTATTTGCAACTATGGTTTTTAGTAACGTTTACAATGGTATGACTATTTAAAATGTAAATAAGTACTCAATTAGGCTAACTCAGGTATATTGAATACCTCAAAAACTAAGAGATATTTGAATTCTGTTAAAACAATATTTAAAATAATTTGACACTTGTTTTGACATTTTAAGAAATATTAATCAGTTTTTGAATAAAATTTGACCAAAAAAACCATAGTTGCAAATAAAATATTATCATTAAATTCTAATCCAGAGAGAAGATATTCCCATAAAACTAGTTCCGTCTATTTTGCGACTGATTTAATCTATTGAATTTAGATTTAACTTTATTTACTATTGTTTTAGTTGATGACCATATAATTATCGAAGAGGATATTGAAGAAGAATTTATGGAAAATGACATTAAAGGCGATGACAATGAAGTGGAGAACGAAGAGATGAATGAACAGAAAGTTAATGAAAGATGTCGTTATTGGCCGAACTGTAAGAATGGGAATCAATGCGAGTTTCAACACCCGACCACTCATTGCAAGTAATGTATTCATAATTATGATATATTTGAGACCATTTGACTTACAGTACATCAAATTATATGTTAAATTTGCAGAACATTTCCAAATTGCCGTTTTGGTGATAAATGTTTATATATTCATCCAAATTGTAAGTTTGATTCCATGTGTTCGAGAAGAGACTGTCCATTTACTCACACAACAAGACGTAAACTACCTGCACCTCTACCCTCATATATACCACCAGTTCCACTGCAAATCAAACAATGCAAATATCTGCAAAACTGCAAGAATATTAGCTGTCCGTTCTTTCACCCAAAGGTTGATTATATACTTTATTTAATAATTTTAATAATTTTAATAATTTTAATAATTTTAATAATTTTAATAATTTTAATAATTTTAATAATTTTAATAATTTTAATAATTTTAATAATTTTAATAATTTTAATAATTTTAATAATTTTAATAATTTTAATAATTTTAATAATTTTAATAATTTTAATAATTTTAATAATTTTAATAATTTTAATAATTTTAATAATTATTAAATTATTATTTTATCAGAATTGTCACTTTGGAGTTAATTGCCGGACCCGTGACTGTCCTTATATTCACCCGAATTCAGTAGTGAATCCCAATCATTACAAATGGATAGCAAAGAGTCACATTAGTGAACGACAATTTGCTATTTCGGATGACAAACAATTATAACAAAAATAATAACATCCTATTTGTCATGTTTTTATTTTGCCAACATATATACAATATATTTATATATAGTTTATGATATTAATTTAATATTATAAAATATACAATTAAAAATTTGACATTTTAATATCTTATATTGCATGTTTTATTAATTGTTTCTCCAATGTAATTTTTGATTATTGGTTTAATTAAATAATAATTTTAAAATTTAAATTCAGCAAAAAAATCTCACCCATTAAAACTATAATAATGTTTATATAAACATAAATTGATAATGTTATTTGACGTCAAAAGATAAGAAAAAAATATATTGAGTTTGATTTTAACTATAGTTGAGTTTTTATACGACTCATTTTTATACAAAAATAATACTGTAGTTAATTGAGTTACCAATGATTTTAAAATCACCTCAAAAAGGATCACAATTATATGTTCAATGACTTCAAGTATAATAAATTTATTATTAATTATAAGATATTAGTTTGTAGTTTCAGTGATTAACATTTAATGTTAAAATTTATATAAATTTGAAGTGTTTTTTGGGGGATAAAAATCTCGTTTCAATTACTTTATTGAATTTAATGATCGTATGATTACATACTGTATATGTTGTATATATCACCGCTAATGACATTGTTGTGAAAACCGGAACCAATGGATTCAAATACAACACAGGTTTGATATAATTTGACAAATTTATAATTTAATATATTTTTCTCTATTAATTATACATATTTCTGTTAATACAATAATTGTAAACTATTGTTTACGGTCTGTAAAATGTTATGATTTTATTTACTTTTGTTATAAGTAAAGTTATTTGCTATTTATTTATATATTAAATAAAATCGAAATTGAAATCTTGAAATAATTTATTTGTTTTAGACATAAATTGTTTTACAATTTACCAGAAATATAGACTACTATATCGACAGTAATATTATAATATATTAATATGTTATAAGACATAACTGTATTAATTGTATAGTTTACACATATAAATTAAAATATACTGTATTTTTATAAATACTATTAAATGAATATTTAAAACTATTTTTCATACTTTTCGAAACCATTTCAATTCGTTTTTAAACAAAAATATAAAGCATTGCTTTAAAAAAATAATGTATACTTAAAAACACTGCATTTTAAGCATTGTAACAGCACTGTACAATAGTTAATAATATATATATTTTTATTAATTATTATCATTTTTTAAAAATAATGTATTTAACTATATTATAAATTAGTTATAATAAAATAATTTATAATATACATGTATATTGAACTTGCAATGCATTTGCAATTCAATAAATTTATATAAAATATTGCAGAGTTCACTCTACCATATTTACTGTGCTATTCTACAAAATAAAACTATTAATACAATATTGCAAACAAATTGATGATAATTTAAATTATAAATAGTAAATGAAATATACAATTCATACTTTAGTAGAGTTTATGTATTTTTATAAAAGTATTAACAATCATAAATTAACAAATGAATAAACAATATATACATTGTATATACTATTCATTATGTAAATATCTACAGTATTATTATTATAAATATATAACTTTGGATATGTTCATTGATAATATACATATTGATTAATGTATGTCTGGCATTCAATATTACCGTAATATACCGGTAATAATAGTATTATTAGCATTATTATGCATACAATATATTGAGAAATTTTCCCATAAAACATTGTACCGGTATAGTACTGTATTTTTATATTAAATTAATCTAAAGACTATTTATTAGAAGCATTTTAAGACAAAATATTGATATAACTTGAATATCTAAAGCAAAACATTAAATAAATGAAATGATTATACAAATAAAAACTTTATACTGTATTCATATACAGTTAAAAGATTTTCTTTAGAAAATACATTGATTCCTATAAAATTGTAATCTAATCACAATTATTATTAATAATACTAATTACTACTTGTAATAACTAATATTTTTATTTGATGCGATATACTGTATACACTGATATTATAGACTTTATAATATAGAGTACATGTAATGTATTTAAATATTGTATTATACAGTACAGTATTATACTACAGTATACTACTGTATAATACGGTATATATTTCTTATTTTCTAAACTTATAATATCTTATAAAATAGAATCACAATTAATTAAACTTAAATAATTAATTACTAAATTAATTTGTTACAACAATTATCAACAATTTTCAACAATTTTCAACAATTATCAACATTTATAAATATTATTCAAAAATGATAATAAAATGAACTGAGAATATCAAAGAAATGCTTGTTTTGTTGCATATAATAGTAATTTATTTTAGTTTTGATTTACTGTATTTATGCGATACGGTATGATATGATTTATATTTTATTTATATATTTATTAATTTTGAATATCAGTTTAAATATAAAACAAATGTTATGATTGATTAAATAACACCATATTTTCAAACACATTAGTTTATAGTTATTAAATATTACTTATTTATTATAATATATATTTATCAGATATATTAATATTAATTTATTTATGACAAACAATCATTCTAATAAAAATAGATATTTTTAAATATCATTTAAATAAATTACTAATTGAAATATATTAATTGCAAAATTTTATACCCTAACACTTTTATTTTATAACAATAACTAAAATAAAGTATTATATAAGTATAGAGTTTTATTCTAGACAAAGATTTTCCACAGAAACCATTTCTACCCATTTTGTTACTCATGTTATATACTGTATGCAAAAAAAATAAATATTCGAAATAACAATTATATTAAAAATAATTTCTTTAAATAAATATTTGTTTATATTTAATAAATAATTATCAAAAAATTATAATATATTTATAACAAATTATTTAAATATTGTGATAATAGTACGGATGTTTGAATGTATTGTAAATATTGATTTACAAAACTAATAGAATATTCTGTAATTCATAAAAAAGTATTGTCAGGTCTAAAGGGAAACCAAATACAGTAAATGTTTAATATTAGATATTCAATGATTATAATATATATTATAATTAACTTGACTTTTATTATAACTTTAAAATGCATTCATCATATTTTATACAATATATTTATATTCAGTATATAAAATGCAATATAAAATTATATACATTATAAAAGTATAATAATGATTATTGTAAAACTTATTGAACATAACAATAGAAATGTTTTTATAAAAATATCAATAATAATCGTAATAATAGTAATCGTAATTAAAAATAATAGCAATTTTCAAGTGTTGAATAAATATGGGATTAATTGGACCACTACTGTACAGTACTATAGCCTATAGTGTATATATAACTATGATTTGTCTACTTTTATCATTCAATATAACTCATTATCACTCAATACTCCCTTTCCTCAAATGCAGTAATTATATTAATAATGACGAGTAGTCTTATAATAGTGAGTGTAATGTAAGCCCCGAAACAACTATATAGTTGACGATAGTCTAGTAATATGAAAAAGGCATAAAATAGTTGCTATTTGTTTATATATTGAGTGGCATTGAGTATCAATTGGAGATGTAATCCCTTTTGATGAGAGATGACACTAATGTCTGTTATATTGTGTTTTGCAACACAACTCACAACTCTATGTAGTGTTTGTTCATTACATTGCATTCAATGCATGTATTGATGTGTTATGTGTTGTGTCTATGCGTTGCCTTTTGACTGTAAACTCGTGTTTCAGATATCTATCAATCAATTAATTGTTAATTATTTTGATTAATATTTAACTAAAATTACCCAAACATTTGATCCATTGAATTGGTTTCCATAAAACGTACTTTAATTGTCACCAAAAAGATGCCAAATAAGCCTAAAAAGGATAAAGTGAGTGGTTTTTGATGATAACATTAATGAAGCCATTAATTAATGTCTTCAAATGTCACCAAACATTGAACTCAATTTATATATATATTATTATTATTTATTGTTACCATTTGTTTTGTTTTATGTCATCAATTAATTGTCATATTTGTCTATTACATCAATAGGTTGTCGTCAAAAACAACACCATAACCACCACTACTACTACTACTACCACTACAACCAACAACAACAACAATAATAACAATAGAGACCAAAACCAGAAGGAAAATAACGACAACACCAACGATGAGGTAATGATTGTCTTCACTTCTTTGTCTTTGTTTATATGAAAAATATCAAAATATCAATAGATATTAATAGCTATTAATCATAATATTTGTATTTATGTTAAAATTATTATTACTTAATAGTATTGTTTTCTTTGATTTGATATGACTTTTCTTTTATGTTTATATTTAATTGTTAAACAATACACGTCTGATATTTTCATATTTATTGTTGTGGTAAAGGTTGAGATGAAGAATAATAATAGTTATGTGAATGAAACCAATTTGAAGGTCTGTCCCAATAGTCTGAACACAAGTCAGGTCAACAGCCAAAAACCGAAAGGATATTCGGGTGTTTCGCCGACATTGAAGACCGCGCGCCGACAGTCATCGTCCAGGTTTAACATCAGCCAGAATCGTGAACTACAGAAACTACCGGCGCTTAAGGACGCCTCAGTCCAGGAACGGGAAGAACTGTTTATTCAGAAACTAAAACAATGCTGTGTTTTGTTTGATTTTTTAACTGATCCTTTAAGTGATCTTAAATGGAAGGAAGTTAAGAGGGCCGCTCTTCATGAGCTCGTCGAGTATATTATGACACAGAGGAATGTGATCACTGAAAACATTTATCCGGAAGTGGTAGCAATGGTATGATTTATTGCATTTATTATTTTATTTTGTTTTACTGTTAATACATATTTAAATTACTTTGTCTAACATTTTTTTATCTGTTATGATTTATTTATTATAAGCATTTGGCAAAAATTTGCAAACTTTATATTTTATTAATATTGTAAGGTTTTCAAGTTTATGGCATACATATTATTGGTGTTTATTTTAGTTAATTTGAAGAATTTATGCAATTTATAAATAGTTTTTGTGATTTATTTATAGTTTTTTTTATAAGTCTATGAATTAAGGGATTCAATACATCTCTGAGTTATTAAAGCTGTGTTATATATAACAGTTGTTTACCATTCATGATATCACATTTAAAATGACATTCAAAAATACATTTAACGCAAATATATGGTTCATATATTTTTACTGACATGACTACAATATAGCAATTAAATAATTTAATAATAATTTTTATATTGGTTTTGCTTTATTATGTGTTTATACTTAAACTGTTGAGTAATTATAATAAATTATTTAAATATTAAAAATATGTTGTAATAAATGATCAATATTTTAAGATAATTTTTTTATAAAAAATATTGCTAATTAATTATTTTCTAATGAATTTTAATTTTTTAATTAACTATTTATTATTTGAAAGATTAGGCATATAATGTATTATTAGTCTGTATTTTTATTTTATTTTAGAATAGTATTTATTGTTAAAAATAAAAAATTTATAATACAGTATTTGTAATTACATTAATCTAAACCCTATTGAGTCATTAGATTTAGCTATTAAATGATTAAACTAAATACCAAAATCTATTTGCTTAAAACAATTTGTTTATTTCCAATGTTTTTATTTTTAAACTCAAATGTAGTCTATCTTATTAGGGTTCGATGAAATTCCCGTTTTATTTTCTTATATTCCCTGTTCTATGAATTCCTAAGGATGCTATTTCCTTGTGTTACCACATATTGAACTCTAAACAACACATTGTATTATGTTTTTAAACTGTATTTTTGAGTTGTATTGATAAAAAAATAAATAATTTTTTTTGTTTAATTTTTAATAAGTAAAATTTTCAATATATTTTTGCAAAATGTTGTGTAAAAGTATTTGTATTATTTATTGTAATAATATATTAAAAAAATTACTTTTCTAACGATGAAGGGAGGGATAATAAAATATTTTACGTGAAAATCTAAGGAATTTTATTATGAAACTTCCATTCCTGCGAAAGTTGCGCGAACTCTACTTATTATGCATTAGTATAAGTCATTTTATAAAATAAATGGTTAATTGAAATTTTTATATTAGAGGTTAAAATGGATTAAATGTTATACACTTAATATAAAGAGACGGAATTTATTTATTTATTATTATTCAATACTTTTTTTTTGAATTTATAACTTAATTATTTAAACATTTATTTGATTCTATTGTATTAATTAAAGACAAAATATTGTTTTTAGATATTATATATTATTTAAATAAATATATTATAAATAGTATTATATATAATTATTCATTGATTATAGTGTTAGTTATCAATATTTGTTATTTATATTTAATTGTATATTTAAGAGGATTTGACGACTAAAATAAATAATTTAAAAAACTTGATTTCTGATGCCTTTGCAATTATATCCAACACAAGGTCTTTAATAAATATTATTTCTTGATATTATTATACTGTAGTAGTAATACATTTAGATGTAAAGATAAAAAATTTTTACAAAAACATTTTATCAGTTATTAAATTTTAAAATTGCAATATTTATTTATTATACAAATTACTGTTTTAATTGTTTGTTTTGATTTTATCACTTAAATGTATATGTATAACTAATAAATATTTTTTATAAATTAAAAAATATAAATTATAGTATATATATGTCAATTTGTTATCGATGTCGATTGAATTTATTAAGTAATTTATATGTTATTTAATGGCTACTTTGATATAAAACGTTACTATAGTAGGAATGATTAATATGAGTTTAAGTGTATTTAAATAACATATATTGGTATAATCGCTGTGACATCACTTAATGTCCTTTTTATCACTATTTAAATAATAAATATTTATTGTATTTTATTATATTAGCTATAATTTATTAAATTTTCTCATTTACTTAGGAATCATAAGTTATGATACTGTATATAAGCTTAATCTTTAATTATAAGTATTTTAATATTTGTTTTTATTTATTTGTTTTAAGCCATTCTCCTGAATCAGGAGTCCTGAAAGTGTTTTAAATTTTGTTTAGAAAATTTCAATTATGTTTTAGACATTTAACTAAAAAATAATAAACATTGATTATTATAATGATAGACTGTATAAAAACTGATTTATTAACATAAGTATATATTGATGTGATTTTATATTTAGTTGATATATTCCTAAATAATTATATTAATTTATACCCAATATTAAAACCTTCAAAAATATGTCCCATTATGACCATGTTTATTTATATATAGGACATTAATTTCAATGATTGTAATGTTCTGTTTTTTTATTATTTTTCCCAATTTGAATCAAAATAAAAAATTTTCAAAAACAGTTTAGATAAGTAATTAGTTTTAAGGACTTTGTCAATATACAGGACAATCATCTTATATATATATATATATATATATATATATATATACTAATTATACAAAATAATGTTTGAAATATAATTATTAAGTAATTTTTTATAATTATAAATTATTTTGATTTTTAGAAAATTTAATTTGTTAAGAGTTGCTTAATATAAATTCTATAATTTTTATGATTATCATAGTTTTTTTTGGATATCTACTATGAAATAATTTTTAAAAGTATAATATATGACTTCGAGTTAATAATGTGTGCTATTTTATAATTTACTTTAATTTTGTCACATTTTATTAATGCATTGAAAATTGTTTAATATTTAATATGTTTAATAATTGATCTAATTAGTCAATTACAATTTGAATGCATTTAATTAATAATAATGTTTTAAAATAGTTTTCAATAAATGTCTTCCGGACGCTTCCTCCGTCATCCAACCCAATGGGTGCTGAGTTTGATCCCGAAGAGGATGAGCCGACATTGGAGGCCGCGTGGCCGCACTTGCAATTGGTTTACGAGTTTTTTCTGCGATTCTTGGAGTCACCAGATTTCCAGCCAAATCTTGCCAAACGACACATCGAACAGAAGTTTGTTATTCAGGTATAAATTAATTATATTTATAATACTGTATATTGTGGTCATTGATATATTGTTTGTTTATTGTATCACAAAAACAGTTATTGGATTTGTTTGATAGCGAAGATCCGCGAGAACGAGATCTTTTGAAAACAACATTACATCGAATTTATGGCAAATTTTTGGGATTGAGGGCATATATTAGGAAACAAATTAATAATATATTTTATCGATTTATTTACGAAACGGAACGCCATAACGGTGTGGCCGAACTGCTTGAAATTCTAGGCAGGTATGTGTCATAACAGACTGTCCTAACTTATTGTCAAAACAACTAATTATTTTAATTTATTTTTTAGTATTATAAATGGGTTTGCATTACCCCTTAAGGACGAACACAAAAATTTTCTACTTAAAGTACTAATGCCTTTACACAAAGTCAAGTCGTTAAGTGTATATCACCCACAACTGGCCTATTGTGTCGTCCAATTTCTCGAAAAAGATCCGAGTCTTACAGAAAGAGTAATTTGAATTTGAATTTTAGTAATTTTACTGACACTTATATTTATTATATTATTAGGTAATCATAAATCTATTAAAATTCTGGCCAAAAGTTCACAGTCCTAAAGAAGTTATGTTTTTAAACGAATTGGAAGAGATATTGGATGTGATAGAACCGGCAGAGTTCCAGAAAGTGATGTCACCATTGTTTCGACAACTGACCAAATGTGTGTCGTCTCCACACTTTCAAGTGGCTGAACGGGCCCTCTATTACTGGAATAATGAGTACATAATGAGTTTGATTACCGACAACGCTACTGTTATTTTACCGATTATGTTTCCCGCGCTGTACCGCAACTCCAAGACTCACTGGAATAAAACTATTCACGGATTAATATATAATGCATTGAAATTATTTATGGAAATGAATCAAAGATTATTTGATGAATGCGTTCAAAATTATAAACACGAGAGACAAATGTATGATTAAATTATTAGTTTTTAATTTTATATAACATTTTATTAATTAATATTGAATTGTTTATAAAGTGAAAAAACTAAATTGAAGGATCGAGACGAGGCTTGGATTAAACTCAATACATTAGCTCAAAGTAATCCTAATTTTATTGAATTGAGACAAAGAGGGGGACAAATCAATCTTAATCTGAATTACGCAATGAATTTGCAAAATGATATCCTTTCGCCTAATGATGACTACGAAGACATTTCTTATGAAAAGTTTGAAACTGAAGCTAAAGAAGTGAGTCATAATTATTGTAAAACTAATAGTAATTATAATATTTTATTAATTGCATTAAAGGCTAAAAAGAACTTAAAGAAAGAGAAACCATTGTTAAGACGTAAATCAGAGCTTTTCTCTCCCGATCCACAACTTCTGACACATAAAAGTCACGATCAGTTTCTCGTTATTCAAACTGAAGCCACCAATAGTTGAGATAATATTAAAAGTAAACATCGAAAATACATTAAATGCATTTTTGTTATTAAATTAAAACAATTTATTTATCATTATATTTAATGTTTATGATTTACCACTTTGTTATATATATATTATATCTTATATAATTTATTGCCATAAACATGAGTTACAGATAAATAACTTGAGATTTGCTGCTATTATTTTAAAGTTATTTTAATTATTATTTTCAAACCAAACAAAAAATTATACATACGAATTATGTATAATGAGTGCCTAATATTTGTAATTTAATTGTATTTATTTTGTTGATATATTTCAAATACATTCCCTATTAAACATTAATTTCTTAAATTTAGTTTGTTGTACTTAATTTGAAAAAAGTAGTTAACTATTAAAATTTAACTTTTATTGGTTAAATTGCTATAAAAATTATGATATTGTTGAAAACATTTTTGAAATTTACATTAAATTTTGCATTTTTTAATAAGCATCAATAGTTTACAGTTTGTTTTTAAAAAAATATTATTTGCTGATTCACTAAATATATTATTATTTAAAATAGAATTATTTATAATTATATATAAATATTATATCATTTTATTTTCTGTTTTAAATTCCAGAGAATCGCTAATCATTTTGTCAGCATTTATAGAAACATATGAAAGTATATACAAAAAAATTATTTTAGTTACAAATTGTGTTATGTATTAGTCATTAATTATGTCGTAATTTTATAGGAACTATTGATATTTAGATTAAAAAAAACACTTATGTAAATAAATTTATTAATATATATATATGTATTTATATATATATATTTGTTTCGACAAAAATTTTTAATTAAAGAAATTTGAATATAATATATTGTGTATTACATTAATTATTACATTAATTATTACATTAATTATTACATTAATTATTACATTAATTATTACATTAATTATTACATTAATTATTACATTAATTATTACATTAATAATTCATTAATTATTAAGAATTTCATTAAGAATTTAGGTCTTCATTCGGTAAGTATTAGAAGATTAATCATTTAATAACTCTCTAATAAATTAAAAATCAGAAACGAATTTTAAAAATATTATTTATATTTTTTATTTTATAATATTTTTATTAATATCCAATCAATTTAAAAACCAATTCATTAATATATTAATATAATATAAATATAATAATAAATTATACCATATTTAAATAAAATGCAATTTAATTTTATAAAAAGATTTTTATCATTATAAATTATTGTTTAATATAAATTTATAAGCAATAGTAATTACCACATTTTGATATCACATATATTAAATTAATTACAAAATGACAAATATGATTATCAACTTAATTATTATTATAAAATATTAGCCATTTTATGTCATGAATTATATTTATATCTTTAATATTGATATACTTGATTCTAGTAACTAGAGTATAGTTTTTTTGAAAATTTATTTATTTAAAATGTTTTGAAAAAATTGAGAATTTTTTTAGTCTGTGAAAAATTTCTATTATTAAAATATTTGTCTATAAAATTACAGGAAATTTCAAAACAAATTTTTTATTTTACGTTATGATTGCAGGTATTTATAATTTTATGTATTTCTTTAAATGAAAGGCTTATGTAATTAGCATTCTTTGAATACCTTTTCACTTCATTTGCTATAAACATTAATTGCATTTTTAATTAATCTGTTTTTGTTATATTAAAAAAATATTAAAAAAATATTTTTTAAATTATTATTTTAATTAATCTATATATGAATAATTTAATTCTACTTAATTTATAGATTTAAAAATGTTTTTAATTTTTTTCAAAATATTAATAAACAATAATTTTTGATATAATTAATTAGTTAATTATATTATTAATTGTTATTTTTATTGCTAACATTGAAAATATAATAGTGTTAAGCTATATTATGTTAATTTTAATAAGATTTGATACATTTATAATTCAATTGTCATTTTAAAAAAACAAACAATCGAATTAATATTTAATACATATTATTGATAGTATTTTAATAAAACTACTTTATGTAAAGTAAATTGAATAAATTGCACAATTAATTAAACTATATTTAAATGTTAAAATATAATATATAAAATATTTTAAAAATAATACTGTATACCGTATTTCTTAACCCTATATTTAAAAAATAATTTGTGATTTTTTAGTCTCATTTAAATAAAAAATAAAAAAATATTAAGTATCAGTAAATAATTATCATAAAATAATTAACAAATTAAAAAGTAATTTAATGGTATTAATTGCTACAAAATATTTCGGGCAAAATATCATTTATTTTAATATTACATTTATATATCATAATAATTTTAATATTATTGTATAAGTTTTTTAACTAATATCAAAAGTTTTCAAATCCCAAACTTATAGAAAGGCATGTTATTATACAGTGTATAATATACACATGTGTGTCCATAATATGCGCGCTTTTCAAAACTTGTTTCAAAACAGGTCGGGTTAAATACTGTATATATATATAAGTTATATATAATATTATATATTGGATACACTTTATATCAATATTATATATAAATGTTTATATGTATATGTTATAAAAATATTTATATGTTGTGTGAATAACAAAAATTTTTATTTAAATTATAAGGAAATAAACTTAATTGATTTTTTCACTTAAATAAAATCTATAAGTAAATATTTAATGCAAAAATAACTAACAAATTATTTATAACTATTTATGCATTTTATGATAAACCAAATATATAAATATTACTCAAAGCAACTTTTTAAAAAATAATTTATAAATCAATTATACTATACTAATAATGTTTTTTTACTAGTGTTGACTTTACCAATTATTTATCAATTGTTTCGTTAGATATACTATTATATATACTGTACTACAATATGTTATAATAAAGTAATTTAGGTAATAATATTCACTGTCTAACATGAAAATTATAATAAATTTATATATATATATATATTGTAAACGATTTAAAGTTATTAAATAATTTATGTATTTATCAACATATTTAATCAATATTGCAAAATATAAGAAAATATTTGCTACTAATTATTATTATTAATTTTTTCAATTTCATTCATTTGTTTTACTTTATCGATTGCCATTAAAAATAAAAGAAAATTAGTTAGAAAATATTATTAAAATTTTATATTTATAATAAATTCAAATTAAGTTTCACGAAAAGAGGAGAAAAACAAATAAAAATTAAAAAAAAATGTAATGATTTTGACAAAAAAATATTTTCTCCTTTTATTTATTCAGTATTAAGTATTTGAATGATTGGATAATTTCCGCAAACCATAGCCTCAGTACTTAATGTGTTAAAACTTATAGTAAACGAGAAATGTATTAAAAAACAAAACAACAACAAAATTATATTATATTTGACAGAAAATTGTTTCAATATTTTCACTGTTTTGTAAAGTTTTTTAGTATTTTTTAATAATTTATTAAAAATATTGTTTTCTTATTGCTTATGTTTTTTCTCTTTTAAAAATTACTCATTTTTTGTTTTAAATACTTTCGACTCATTTCTAAAGTAATAAATAAAGTATTTATATCAGCTATTTATATATATATATATATATATATAATTGAGTGGTATGTAAGGCTAGACCTGTGGACTATAAGTTTGGTACACCTGCTCGGGTACGACAACACAGCGCCAATAAAGTATTGCCTTTAGAAAAAATGCCAGTAATACCAGTGCCAGTGGTATTAAAATAGTGTTTAGTTTGCTGTAGTTGTGATAGTGGTATTGGTGTGGCTCCTGTAGCTCTCAAACACAGCCCAGGGTATTGCTTACAGTTTTGCCGTTTAGTGTGTTGTATATTACGGCAATTGAATGCATTGAATGGCATCTAAACAACACTCTAAACAACTTTAAAACATGTCTTATGTTTTGTGTTTTTCTATTGCATTCCTTCGTGACGTCAAATGAATTTGTGCTCAAATGACGGACACAACCAATTGAATTGTGGTATTACCTGATGATTGTCAACACAACAGCCCTCTCTCTCTTTGGTCAGACCTGAGAGTACGCTTCATAGCATACATACTCATACATACATACCTATGCATTGCTATACACTTATGCACACATAAAAGCCACTTCTCTATCATCAAACACTCATTTCTCGTACAACCAGTTGTTATATACTTTTGATAGTGTATATAGAAATATACTATATATATATATTTATATATATTAATAGTATATATATTTTTACTTATATTATGAAACTTCAAAAACTTGTTTATCAAAGCATTTGAAACGATGAATGCATTGGAGAACAGTCTGTTTTACAGCACATACAGCACTAACTGAGCTCAGAATATACTTATACTCAACGATTCGCTCAACTATTTTCAAAAGTTGTTTTAATAATATGATCGCTTGAAAAACTTACTGACAATCAAAATATTTACTGTTTTTTGTGACCATTTATTTCCAATCAATTGATTTTGTCATTTATTTCATTTGGATTCCTATTATAACTGTTTGTTTGGCATTTAGTTATTGTGTTCATCAGTGAAACATTGAATTTGTTTGATTACATACCATTCAATACCACACATCATCTCCTGGTTTGCCAATTATTACTTGATTTACAAAATTCAAAGGTATGTAAATATATAATCATATTATTTGTTTAATGTTATATATACTGTATATCAATATATTATTATCACGATTTTTTATAAAATGTGTTAAACTGTTGTAATAAAGTATATCATATTTACTGCATATATTTGTGACAATGTATGGATGGACTCATGTGATACCATATATTTTATTTAGTAAATGCATTGAATGTATACCACATTTGATATCATAAATTTATTGAATGGATAAATAGTTGCCTATAAATGGTGACATTTAAATGTGTTGATAATATATAGAGTATAATATAGACGATGGTTATGCTATAAAAATTATTTGAAAACTACATTAATAAGCAAATTGGTGTTTGGGTTAAAATAGTAAAATAGTTCAAATACCTCAACTATACCTTTACTATTGCACTGACAATACTACAGTTGTACACATATACACAACATATACAGTAATTTGTGCCACATTTTTGTTGCACTTGTGATACAAGAGTCGAGAGCAGCCACTGATGCCCTCAGCAATAATATACAGCAATAATATACACTTCACTTCTAATACCATTGCAATCATAACTACAGTATTATTTGGTTCAATATATTCACTCCACAAATAAATTCAAACAAAACAGATATCCAGCTATTAGTCACTATTCCACTTCATATGAATTTTTTGCACTCATTTTTTTGGCTTAATTTTTGTTTATATATAATATTAAGTATTGGCCCCAAAAAAGTTATGTCTAGTTATATTATTTAATATTATTTTTTTATTAATTAAAATATTATTTGAAATTATAGAAATATACATTTATTAATACTAATAAAATGTTATTATTATTATTTGTAATATTTTCAAGTTTTAAGCTATACTTACATTAATTTTAAAAATTCTAACAAGTTATTTTTGTTTTGTTTTATATAATATATTATTTAGTTTAAAAAATATTTTAATGTTATATAAACTTTATATCGTTAAAAGTTATCAGAAGTAATCAGTTTTTGTTTTATTGATTGTGTGAGTAAGCAAATGAGTGAGTGAGTGAGTGAGTGAGTGAGTGAGTGAGTTAGAGAGAGAGAGAGAGAGAAGATTAGCATTTTTGGGAGGAGTTTTGAATTCCTTAAGAAAGGAGGCATTGATTACTATTTTGGGTGAAATTTCCTACAAATAGCCCAAAGCATATCATTAAGTGTTATCGGCTCAACAGGTATGCCATTCCCCATAACGCCATCACCACATCACAAGCTATGCATCTATTTTAATGCCAATCCGTGATATATTAATATTAAGGCAAACCATTAAAACAAAAAAGACTAAGACATGATTGTATCGCACTTATAGTTTCAAAGTATTGATAATTCGCAACAAATATAATCATACATTGTTTGCAGTGATTGTATGGTATATTATGCACCGACATAGCAATGTATGGCATACCTATGCAAATGACTCTTTTGTATTAATGGAGCCAATGTTGGCTTCGGGTGGCATTACTACAGTATAAGCAAAATGATAGCTTATTGGAGAACATCACTACCGATGATGACTCAAATGATGGCTGAATTGGCGCCAAATTTCCAATTATTACATCAATAAATGCTATACAAAACACAAGCATTTACCGTGAATTACATCAAAATGGGAGTAAACCTCTATTAGGAAATCATGAGGTATGAGGTTTGGTCTCAAATATGCGGCTTTGGAAGTGAGCCAACACTTAGAAAGCACTCTCCTCTTAGAAAATGCATTCCTTTGTGATGCCAGTGCCCTAAGGCAAGGACGAGACTACCACTACCACCAACACTACCATTGACTGCTCAATACATACCATACATGTATTCAACAATTATAGCAATTGACTTCACAACTATCACTACCACTTCTAGAGTTAAAGCTATAAAACTCACTTAAAATTACCGAAAGAGAAATTCTTTGAAAAATGAAATTTAGTTTCGGTTTTGAAGATAAATAGTTTGATGGAGTGAATCAAGTGAATAGAGAGAGAGAGAGAGCTTAAAATTTTTACAGCAGAAAAGTTTTTAGTTATTGAGTTATAACTTACAATTGAAAAACAACTTTACAATTATTTCTCAAAAACTGATGCATTAAAAGACATATAACTTATTTTATTTAATGTTTCGAAGAATTTACATAATTTTTATACATATTTTAAAAATATTTTCAGTCAGTTTAATAATTATTAGAATTTTAAAATTATCTTAAAAGATAATAATTATATACAGTATCTGACAAACTATTAATAATTTTATTATTTATTATTAGAAGAATTTTATAACTAAAAAATGTTTATTTTTCTTAATAAATTATTAAATTAGGATTATCTTTAAGCGATATTAAACTATTACATTGATTTGTGAGTAAGATAAAAATTGTTTTTTATATTGCAAAATTCAGACATCAAGTTAAAAAATAACAATTTAAAAAACTAAAATCAGAGGTTATTATTTATAACTTATTTATAATTTGTAAAAATAACACGTATTATGTGACAAAAACGGTATAAAAGTAGCCTAGTTTTGAGTTTCATAATACAAACTTATAAATATGCTGTAGTATCATATATTTTATTATTTTGAACAGTTCAGAAAATTATTAATGTCGTAGACAAATATATTTTTGTGTATTTATTTAGACACATAAAATTTCCACTTAATTTTTAAAAATATTTTTTATTAGAATACTTATCAAATTTTGTATTTTTGTGATAACTTTTTATTGCAATCAATATCACAAATACATTGAAAAATTCTATTAAATTGCCAACGATTTCTCTCTCTCTAACTTTTTTAATTTAGTCATTCAATTCATGATTTTATGGTAAAATACATTTAATTCATATCTTGCAGTCAGTCAGAGTTGGCAAACGAAAAGTAATTATTTAAAAATTCTTTTATCAACTTTTAGATCCTGAAGTGAGAGAGAAAGAGAGAGAGAGAGAGAGAGAGATCCAACTGTGCATATATAATATACAGTATATAAATATATATATATATATATATATATATATATATATATTGATAGTTTCATACATAGTAGTGGTACCTACACCTCCATATGCTGTGCACCGGGTGATCAAAATGTTTTCAACTTTTTAAAAATAAATTCCTTTTTTGGGCCACAAATTAGTGGAAAAATAGAGGCGTAACTAATAGTCAGGAACTTTATCCAAACACTCATATTGTTTCACAATTTATGGCTTAACACATATCTCTCAACATTTTATTGATATATAAATTCTTTTTGATTTTTATATTAAGGAAAAAGCTTTTAGTTTAAACAAAATTAACTGAAATTTGAAAACATTTACTTATATTATAATTATGTATGTCTTATAATATACTGTATATTCAAAATGTAATGTTTTTTAATGATTATTTTAATTCTAATTTGATATATAATTTTAATATTATATTTGGTATACAATATTAAATATAATAATAAATATCAAATATTTTTATTTTAATTACGTCATATAGATATTTTATAACTACTAATTATGATATTAATATAAATTCCTAAATATATCAATACTATAGTAATAAAATATTACTAAAACATGTCAAATTGAACATAAAATAATTTTTTAAATAGCGTTTTAATTTAACCATAAATTGATATAATAAGAGGACAATTAATGGTAAATATATCATCTTTAAGAAAACATTTTGATATATAAAAATATATAATTGGAAATTAAGGTCAAGAACAGGTAATTGTTGCTCAACTTTCTCGAAGATATATTTCATATAATTATAAAAATACGTTACAATCTAATGATTCAAACAAACAAAAAATTATTTTATAAAAAAAAATTATATTACTTTTACATTGAGAAACTATTTTTTAATTAATAACTAGACAGTAAACATTTCGGGAATTTCCGATTATTATTTAATTATTAAATCATCAGAAATTTTATCTAAGCTTAATTATGCTTAAATATTTATAGTATATAATGTAATATTTATTTTAGTGTTTTGTGAAAAAACGAAAATAGCAATTAAACGTTAATATTCAAAATAAAAATAAGTGCTATTTTTTAATAAAATATATTAAACACATGCAAAACAATAATTGTGACAAGTCTTAAAAAGTTACAAATAATTATTATAATAAATTTTAAAATTTAAATTGCCGATTTATCTTCCGAATTTTTTTTTGTATAACTAAATTTTTTTTAAATATTTTATGTCTAAATGAAATGATTATTACTCTAATAAAACTATATTTTTCATATCATTTAACGACTTCCTAAAGATATTTATTTTTTGCACACTATATATAATTTAACTAACATTTTAACCTTTTTTGTGAGCATTTTTAAAAAAGTATTATGATATATATATATATATATGTGTGTTGACAAATGTTTGCAATTTACCACAATTATGAGTATATAAAATATAATACTTTTTGTATTAACAAAGTTACAATTAGTTTGTATAAATAATTAGATTTAATTTTAGTCATTTTTTTGTAATATCAAGTTTGGTTTAATTTGATGTATTCAATTATATACTGTAGTTAAAATTATATTGTTATTTTTAAATTGATTTTTTTTTAAGTAACTACTGTATGAATTGGTTATATACTGGCAATTAAAAATTGTTGAATCAGTTTTGTAAACAAATTAAACCAAAGCATTAAAATACTTTTGGTTTATTTAAACTAACTAAAAATATCAAAAATTGTAATTAAAAAAGTGACTCTTATCTATCATTTTGCTAAATATATAATTTGCATTATTTTATGACATGGATTGTCGCTCCATAAATAATTTCATAATTCTCTCTTTCTCTCTCTTTCTGTATATATATGTATGTATGTATGTAATAGTCATAAAAGTGAATTACATATAAAATAAATTTTTAATATAAAAACAAATTGTGAAAATGAAAGTTTTGTTTTGAGATAAATATTACAATAATGAATCAATTCTACAAATTCAAGGTTTAATAATGAATGTATTGTAAGTTATATATTGTACTTA